AAACATCTCAATCGGAAATCGAAAACTCAAGACATGCTCATTTTTAACGAAGACAACGCGTGTAGAAAATTTGATATGGGCCCAATACAAGAATTTTAATTTATTCCGAATTTTCAATTATTTTATTGATTATTTGTGAATAAATTCAGCTTTATAGTTTCCATTATTTATTTACGGAAATTTAAGATTTTTTTATTAGTTTAGGATTTTTTTCTTTTAATTAGTAAAATACTAGCAATAAAAGAAAACCTTTGACTAAAGGTAATTCGTTCGCTTTATTTTTTTTATTGTCACTTTGTTTAATTTCGATCTTATTTTTGTTTTCTTTTTTTTTTTCTTTTTCTTTTTTAATTTTGGTGAGAGGAAACCATTGTAAAAGGAAAAAAAATACTTTTGAATTAACCTTCATAGATTTAGCCTTGAGGCTTCTCAATGAAAACCAACGATCATTTTCTTTTGGTTTTTGTCTTTAATTTACTTTTTTATATTTATTTCGTTTCGACCAATCATAACCTTGATTTTTCTAAAAAAAACTCCTTTAAACGAGAGAGAACCGAGGAACAAGGAATAAGTACTTTTAAATCATCTTCATTGATTTAGATTTTTTTGAGGTTTCTCGATGATTATCAATGGTGGATCTTGAATGAATTTTTTGCCTTTCCATTTATTTTTATTAATTCATTTTAACCCAATGTCGATTTGTTTTTTTTTACCTTTCATGTTTGACCGAACATATGGTATATTTCATTTAATTTGATTCCTTAATCTTTCTATTTGTATTTCTTTTTCATATTTATTTCATACTTTTTTATGATTTTGTGTATTTATATTTATTTCATTTATTCCATTTTATATATTTTTTATTTTGGTACTCGTGACCCCTTTTGTCTTATTTATGCAGATTAAACCCAATTTCCTTTTATTTTTATAACATCGATTTATTTTATTTTTTAGTAACAAAGACTCAAAGGTAAGTGATTCGGATCGAATATTTAAAATCTTTTCTAAACTTCAATTTTTCCAATTAAGAAAACTAGGTAATTGTGTGGTATCGAAAGGGCAACTCGGGGGTGTGATCAACTCCCGAATCCGGCAATTCTCTGGTCAGACGCAGATCGGTAAACGGGAAAAATCAAGGTGTCTGATCTACCTCATTCGAAATGATCGATGACGACTCCATCATCAATTCCAAGTTTAGACGCGAACTCGAGACCACCTGAAGGACCGTTGTGATAGCTTGACGACTCCCCAAAGGACTTTGAGTGTCAGGCCAAAATTGATTACCCGATTGTCTTCTTTAGCGAAAATTGTAAGTTTAAATTTTAAATTTATTTTCGATTTTATTTACCTTTGATTATTTTTTTCAAATAAAGAGTTGTACTGATGTTTTTTTTTCAGTGTTTTCAAATTTTTCGAAAAAATCATTTCAAGCTCTATATCTGAGCTCCAAACCTTTTTAAGTAGGGGTGAAAGCGACACTTTCGTATGAATTTATTCCTCGTATGGGCCTAACAATTAACCTTCGGGATTCATATACTCTATGTCTTCGTATGAATTTATTCTTTGCATGGACATAAAAGAATGTATCCCTCGAGTTTAGGTAGTTTCGCATAAGCCTATGACGGGTTTAGGATCGAGGGTCTGGCAAGCCTGAGGGGCACCAGCGAGGAGAACTCAGATCCCTTTTATAGAACCAAACCATGTCGTTGCGAGATATTAGAGCCTACCCTTAAATCCCATACAAACCTTAGGATATTGTTGTTTTATTTCATGCCTTTAATTTCACTGTTCCAAGCATGCAAACTAGAAATTCATGCGGTTAGGTTAATGTTTGTTAAAAAGCATGCATGATAGAAAAATCATGATCCGGTAGGAACAAAAGCATGTGAGGTAAATATCATATGGGGTATGAATTTTTATAATTTTTTGCCTTAGTTATATCATTGTACTAACTTATTTCCTTTTGTTTCTCTTTTTGCCTTTTATTTTAAGTTTAATCATTGCATCGAGGTGTTGATCTGCGAAGTGTTTGTCAACTCCAAATAGTTTTCATCAATGTACAAAGGGGTTGTGATGCGAGAGGCTAAAGAACACAAGGACACGATTTCGATCTAAGAAGACCCGAAAGAAAATAAGACCAAGAGAAGGCTACGTTAGTTGGCTTCACATCAATCGAGAATAATGATGACCAGGAGCTGTGAAACATGTGGGGTGAACACGAAAGGATGTGTTAATGCAGTTCTACAGCTTTAGCAAATTCTGAAATCCATGATAAAAACGAAGATTGTGAGAGTAGATCAAGTTAAAAGATGGCGAGATTAAAGAAAACATTAAACGTGAAATCCCGAAAAAGAGCAGAGAATCATAGAAAGAAACAAGAAGAAAGCGAGCGAGCGAGCTTCATATAGTCTCATATGATGGAGGGAAGCAATGGTGTTTTCAATGGGAACAGACCTAACGTCAGAGATGCAGTCACTCGGGAGTTCTTGGGGCAAGTCCACAAAACAACTCATCACTGTAGATGTTAAATAAAGAAGCTGGGCAATGAAACAAGACATTCATCCCGTGACCAGTGGAGTATGGAGACTTGTCAACCTACTTGAAGCTGTCCAGAGTTTAGAAGATCTAGCTCAAGCGTACCTTTAAATGTTTTTGGCCTCATTGTAATAACATTTTTGTCTCAATGAAGGCTAGTTTATCATAACAGAAATTTTTTGAATCAATTCCTCAAATCTTCATGCATTCATCATACGTTCATGAATTCATTATTAAAACATCGATGACTGATAAGATTTGATTTATTATGAAAAAGGAAAAAGCATTGGACTCATCTCATCCGCACAAAAATCGACTCAAAATAAAACAAATGAAAGCTAGGATGAATGAGATTGAAGAAAACTCCGTTAAGCTACAACAAATCTAGAGAATAAACTAAGTCAGAACCTCCAAACCACCTTCGATTTTATCACCAAAAATCAAAATGCTTTGATCGATCAATTGATGGCAAGATTGACGGGGGTGAATTTCGCTAATGACCCAATGACAAAGCTACTAAGGAAACAATGACCCCACCACCAAAGTTGATAATTACCCACGAAGGTTCCAAGGAAACCTGGAGAACTCCTCTTCCATGAAGCCACAGGCTTCCTTGACCAATCCTAAGAATAACCTAGAAAACTACATCCCAAACTCTAACAAAGAGGATAAGTCCAGAAAGATGGAATAGAAAATAAGACATTTGGAAGACCAGATGAAAACTGTCAATGGCGAAGAGAGTTTCTATGGCGTTGATGCTACAGAACTGAGCTTGGTCCTGAATTTGGTCCTACCTCCAAAATTCAAAGTTTTGGACATTGAAAAGTTCGATGGGAACATCTACCCCTCTATCCATATCACCATGTTCTGTCGAAAAATAACAAGATATGTGGGGAATGACCAACTTCTGATCCAGTGCTTTCAGGAGAGCTTATCAGATTCAACTATCTGGTGGTACAACTAGCTGAACAAGGTTCATATTAGGACTTGAAAAGATCTCGCCAAGTCCTTCTAGAACAATATAAGCATGTGAGAGATAGCGGACCCAGATCTAACTCTACAAAACATGAAAATAAAGTGTAATGAGATCTTCTGACAATATGCACAAAGAGATATTGCAATCCAAGTGCCTCCACCATTAATTAAAAGAGAATTTATCACTCTATTCATGGATACACTCAGGTCACCATATATTGACTACATGATGGGAGTCAGAACTAAAAGTTTCTCTGATATTGTCATGTGCGGGGAAATGATCGAAAGAGCCATAAGGAGTGGTAAGATACAGGGCACTAACAACACTGACACAAAAAATAACGTCGAGATCAATAGTGTAGAGTCTCGCTCAACCAATCACTAGAACAAATGTCATAAACGTGTTCCAGAAGAGACTCCCTTCAGTCCAATTCCTATGACATATGAGGAGCTACTTCCAATTCTTATTGAGAAGAATATTATGTCTACTATTCAATCAAAGCCAAAATAGCCCACGTATCTTGAAACCTATGATGTCAATACCACATGCGACTATCACGTAGGGATATCAGGACATACTACTGAGAATTGTGGGACACTAAAGCGCAAGGTCCAGATTTTAATCGATTCAGGAGCATAGACTTTCAAAGAATAATAAGACATTCTTATGCATTCCCCATGATGCACTTGTATTCTATCTTGTCCGAACTTGTTTGTTGTTTTTTAAAAGTCTATTGACGTTCAACATATTGAATAGAGTGCTACCTTCTAAAGTATGAGTAATGTGTAAATTTTAATCTTGACAACAACAACAATGAAACCCTATTCCCATATGCAATGGAGTAAGGGGGAGGTAGGGTAGTAGGCTACCCCCAACGCCAGGTTGAGAGCAACTTTCGTGGAAGACCTCTGGCAGTCATAAAAATTAAAAATAAAGATAAAATGCAATGCATGTATAAATAAATAAATACATAGTTGACCGTTTTTTTAATCTTGAAGTTCATTAAAATATCAATTGAATTAAAAGTTCTTTTAAAAATCGAGATTATAGACCTTTGACAAGTAACATGATTACACTCCTCCCAAAAATAGATCCCTTTGATCTTTCGCCCAAGACAAGATGTAATCCCCTTAAACCCGACTAGGAGAATTAGGTTGAATCTAGAGAGCTCATTAACCAAATTTCCCAAAATCGTACCCAAAAATTACTTAATATACATTGAAAATTAACAATCGCATTTATAAATTTCAAACATTTAAAGTAACCAAATTAAATCAATAATAATTAAAACATAATCGAAAATTTTATAAAATTCAAAATTAAAGTCCCAATGTCCAAAACAAAATTTAAGTTTAATGTCCCAAAAAAAATTAAACATAACGAATATTATCCCAAGATAAATTAATAAAATGTGCAATAGGAAACCAAGTAAAATGTCATACTGAATAAAATAAAATCTTAGTAATATCATATCTCCAAGTATCGATTCTCCTAACCTGAGTATCTGAATGAGAGAAACTAAGGGGTGTAAGCTATTAAGCTTGGTGTGTCTCTAAAGTTCAATTAAACACAAGTCACAGCACAATCTGAAACAAACAGTAATCATCATATTTTGAATCAATCAACGATAATCAAATATTTAAATGTATGCAAATGTTCATGCACCCACCTGTACTCCAAACACTCCATCAATGGATGGGTTCCCCAGAACCACTCAAACTACAAATAATCCATATCCGAAGAGTGGGGTCTACCACAAAGACAGAGGTCACAGAATTCAAAAGTGACAGTCACCCCGTCGAGTGAATGCACTTAACTTCCCCTATTAAAATTCATCCCAATATGATATGCAAATGACACACATATCTGGTATCTGATCCGATCCGAATAACACATATCCGAATAACACATACTCGAATATCATATATCCAAATTATGATATAATTCGAACATAATAATTACATATACAAATAATCTGAGTCCAATACATAACACATATCACATATCATACTTTCTTGAATTTCAACTGATAAATCAAAGTCACATTACCATCATGCTTGAAATCAACTTTCAATCAGCTTGTTATCCGAAATATATTTAATTCAACATTATCACAAAATAATCATGCTTCCACTCAAATTCAGACAACCAAACAATTATTACAAACAAAATTTAGCATCGGATACACACCTCAACAAATAGCTAACGACGACAATAGCGCTTCCCATGATCGGCCCGAACTATAGATCAAACCGAATCGATTCCTACATAAAATTTGACTAATAATTACTATTCTAATTTTAATAACAAATCTGAATCTAAATCTAAGGAATTAACTAATACTCATTGTTGATTCTTGTAACCCGAGTTGGTTCAAAGTTAACCGGTAACCGTGAAGGAGGTGATAGATTTGATTCCGAATCGATATCACCTGCAAAAATCACGACTTCCAATTTCATATCTCGATTCAACGAATTTCAGATTAATGAAGCAATTTAACGACGATTAAAAATAATTCTCGGTTAGAATTAGGAACCGGGCAGTGGGGTTTGATTCGAACTAAAGGGACTGCCGAACAATGATTGTAGTACCTACTGCTGCCCTACGACTTTCGGTGACCGAAGAAGGTAAGACACACCCTTACCAGACCGAACAACAACCTCGGCTGCCCAAAGGAAGCCCAAAACGATCGGAAGGTACTCTATAGTGGCCACCAATGACCGAAGAAGGTAAGACACACCCTTACCAGACCGAAGCGACCTTCTTCACGCGCGGTCCAACCACTTGACGGCCACGGACAACCGCGACACCACGATCGGTGGCGAGAGTGGTCTCGGTTAAAAGTATTGAACAGTGACGCACAACGAACTAAGAAAGAAGAGTGGAGGGTCGGGGTCTGACGTTCAACGGTGACTCACCTTTGCACTGAATCGACGAGAATGATAACAAAAATGGATGGTCGGCAGCGGGGATAGAGTGAGATGGGAGTAGCGGCACAAAAGAAAACAAAAAGATGAAAAGAAGTTGGGGGCGTTGTTCGTGAAAAGGGGCAGAGAAAGAATTAAAATTGGTTTAATTACAAAGTTAATCATCAAACACTGTAGGTTTTACGTAATAAGATACAACTTTTAAAATATTTACAGTTAGTCATCAAAATCAATTTAGGTATTTGAAGAATAAATCCCCTAATTCTAGAGTTTCGGATTTGGGAGAAATTTGGTGTGTTACAATTCTCCTCTCCTTAACAAAAATTTCATCCTTGAAATTTATTGGAATAGAAATAGAATGAATTAAGGTCTCTGCAACTTCGTTTAGCTGAACTTGATCCTCATATCTACGAGTAGTATATACTAACTTCGAATACGTAATTGTCGATCAAATTGAACCTCTACTCTGAGTTGTTCTAACGCTATTAACAAAAATGAACCAATATGTCTATCATGTTCACTACCTCTAGTTGGTGTCTAAACAGACCTTGTCCTTAATCGATCGCAAAATCCTACAGGGTAACATAATGAACTATCTATAAATCACAAAATCCTAAGGTCGAAGTTGATACATGGAATTCCGAAATAAAACATTTATTTACTTATGAAAATTAGCAAAAGAAAAAGAAGGAAAATATATATTTTTGAATTCCGTAAATCCCATGTTTACCCGAAAATTTTGTATGCATGCGAAAATAATTTTTGGTTAAAAATATTATGGTCGAGCTCCACAATCTGAGGGTTGAACATGACTCTGTTACCACTAAATGTAACCCCCTAAACTGACCTAGGAGAATTAGGTCGAATCTAAATAGCTCATTAATCAAAATTCCCAAAATCGTACCCAAACATTATTTAAAATACATTAAAAATTAACCCTCGCATTTATAGATTTCAAACATTTAAATTAACTGAATTAAATCAATAATAATTTAAAACATAATCAAAATGTTTATAAAATTTAAAATTCAAGTTCTAATGTCCAAACAAAATTTAAGTTTAATGTCCAACAAAATTAAACATAACGAATATTATCCCAAACTAAATTAATAAAATGTACAATAGGAAACCAAGTAAAAATGACATATTGAATAAAATAAAATCTGGGTAATATTGTATCTCCAAGTATTGGTTCTCCTAACTCGGTATCTGAAAGAGAGAAACTAAGGGGGTAAGCCATTAAACTAAGTGTGTCTCTAAAGTGCATTAAACACAAGTCACAGCAGAATCCGAAACAAACAGTAATAATCATATTTTGAATCAATCAACGATAATTAAATGTATGCAAATGCTCATGCACCCACCTGTACTCCAAACACTCCATCAGTGAGTGGGTTCCCCAGAACCACTCAAACTACAAACATTCTATATCCGAAGAGTGGGGTCTACCACAAAGGTAAAGGCCACGAAATCCAAAAGTGATAGTCACTCCGTCGAGTGAATGCACTTAACTTCCCCTATCAAAATTCGTCCTAATATGACATGCAAATGGAACACATATACAATCCGATCTGAATAATATATACTCGAATATGATATATCAGAATTCGATCTGATCCGAATGTAATAATTACATATACAAATAATCTGAGTCTGATACATAACACATATCACATATCATACTTTCTTGAATTTCAACTGATACATCAAAGTCACATAACCATCATGCTTGAAACCAACTTTCAATCAACATATGTTATCCGAAATATAATTAATTCAACATTATCACAAAATAATCATGCTTGCACTCAAATTCAGACAACCAAACAATTATTACAGACAAGATTTAGCACCGGATAGAGACACACCTCGTCAAATAGCTAACGACAATAACGCTTCCCATTATCCCCTGAACCATGGATCAAACCGAATTGTTTCCTACATAAAATTTGACTAATAATTACTATTCTAATTTTAATAACAAATCTGAACCTAAGTCTAAGGTAATAAGAAATACTCATTGTCGATTCTTGTTTTTATTCCGATTCGATATCACCTGCAAAAATAACGACTTCCAATTTAATATCTCAATTCAACGAATTTCAAATTAATGAAGCAATTTAATGACTATTAAAAATAATTCTCAGATAGAATTAGGAACCGGATAGTGGGGTTTGATTCGAACTAAAGGGACTACCGAACAATGATGGCAGCACCTACTGCTGTCCCACGACTGTCGGTGATAAGCACCATGGCAACAACCATGGCTTGGTGGAAGGAAAACCTCGGCTGCCCAAAGGAAGCACACAACGATCAAAAGGTACTCAAAAGTGGCTACCCATGGCCGAAGAAGGTAAGACACACCCTTACTAGACCGGTACGACCTTCTTCAAACATGATCCAACCACTCGACAGCCACATACAATCGCGACACTACGATCGATTGATGTGATCATGACTACACCAACGGATCCTGAAGTCATGCCTCAAGGACCTATCATTCATGTAAGGGAAAAACAATTTAGGGAAATACTTTCTCATAAATGAGTTCATGTTTTCAAATCTTTTAATGAAAATGAACCTTTAAATGATAGGTTATTTAATATATTCCAAGTTGATTATTAATATAACCTATAGTTCACATCTTTATATTATACACATTGCTACTTTATATTAGTTCATATATTTAAATTAAATTAAATTTTTCTTTTAGGTTACAACGCCTACAACAACATATGAGCTTAACAAAGGACATAGAACTAGGAAGCCTTACATAAGATATTCAAGAGAGCATGAAGATCAAATGGTGAAAAGTTATTTTTTTCTCAAATTGTACCTTTTTGCGAAATGTGCAATTTAAGCATCTTTATATCATCCAAACATCATGACCATTCATAAAGGCGCTACCATGGAAGGATGACATTGAAGAGAAATGAGCATTGGTGAAGTCAATTCCATCAAAAGATGCTTAAATTGCGAAGATATTTGAGGAAGCTAAGGTGCCTATTCGACCAAGTCGCACACGCATTGGACAAGGAGGAGTTTGGCGCCAAAGTGAAAGAGCACAAGTCTATTCTCCCAAACAAGATGCTTCCACCCTGAGCCAAATCATCATGCCTCCTTGGAAGAGTTAGCCGAACCATCTCCATGCCAAAGGACTTGTTCATTCATTCCATTAGTTATGTATCTTTAAATGAATCATGTACCTTGCCGAAACATCATCTAATTATTCGGCCAAACCCTTTGCTAGCCTATAAATAGGCTTTTTCATATCATTTGTAATCATCTCATTTTCTATTCAAATCTATTGTGAGTTAAATCTCTCTTTCAAGTTCTTTAAGAACTATATCGATTAAACAAATATATTTCTATACTTGTGGCATCAATCTATTCACCTTGATTCTTGTAATTCATAGATTCAATATCTAATGGGTTTAAGACACTTCTACCATCCCTCAAGTAAGTTTATAAAGAACGGGGCTTTGCTACTTAGCATTGTTTATTCTTCGACAAGTTTGAGATACTTTTCATCACTATAACCGCCCATCCTCATCAACTTCATCTACTATCTTCATCAACACTATTGAAGACTATCCTCATCATCATATTTCTTCCGCTACCAACTCTTTCATTACTTCATTTCTATTCCATTTACTTAAGTTTTTATATCATTTCAATTTCTAATATTTCCTTTAACTTTCCTTTGTTGTAGCCATACTTAAGATTCAAGGGCATCATTTGTTGTCTCTCCTAGATCAGGAACACAATAAGGATATCTATTCTCTTTTTTCTAAAGTGTGTAGATTCTCCTTACATCAAGTAGTATCAAAGCTCAGTTGGATTGATACAAAGAAGTGACATTGGCGTGCAACATATAAAAAAAGAAAATGAAGTGCAAAGCAAATTTAGGACTCCTACAACACACAATGAGTACAAAAACAAAAGAAAAACGAAATGCAAGCAAAAAAAACAAAACAAAAGAAGATTCAAAACAGTGGAGGAATATCTACATCAACCATACTTGAAGGAGATATCCTTATTGTGCCTTGAGAAAGAGTGTAGTAAGTACTGTTCTTGGATTGTAAGTTTCCCAATTTTCTTCTTTCATTTCTTTTCCTAAACCATTTCCTTTATTTCCATATCTTTCTATCCTAACCTTAAGTTGTATTCGACACACATAAGAGAGAAAGAACTTGTTTTAATCTTGAGTTAGTTCTTTTAAAGGATCGAACAAGAGATTGAGTGGTAAAAGGCATATTGAGATAGTGAGATCAGAAAGGGAGTTGATAAAAGCCAAATATATTCTCAAGTGCAAACACGAGAGTTGAGTGGAGTGATCTATCAATTTTCTTTGGAGTGAAATTGTGAGGCTTTGTGAGTTTACTGGTAAGGTTTTATATTTTCTTTATTATTATCACTAACAATATCAATAGTTTTGTTAGATCTTCCTACTACTTCAGGACAAGTCCTAGTTGTTAAAAAGACTCTAAACATTCAATCCATAGTGGACAATCAAAGGGAGAACATCTTTCATACCCGGTGTCATGTAAACAACAAAGTTTGTTTCATGATTATCTATAGAGGAAGTTGTACCAATGTTGCGAGTACACTCATGGTGGTAAAGCTTGAATTAAATACAATCAAACACTCAACACCATACAAGTTACAATGGTTAAATGACAGAGGAGAAGTGAAGGTCACCAAACAAGTTGTAATTCCATTTCCATTGGGAAATACCAAGATGAAGTCCTTTGTGAGGTGGTTCCAATGAATGCATGCCATTTACTCTTAGGAAGGCCATGGAAATTTGATAAAAGGGTTGCTCATGATAGTTTCAAAAACAATTATTCATTCTTCCACAATGAAAGAAAAGTCATTTTGACTCCACTTTCACCTAGCCAAGCATCCGAAGACTAGAACACTTTGAAGAGAAGCATTGAGACTTCAAAATCTATCAAGAAGAAAGAACCAACAAAGATAAACATTTATGTAGGAGGAAAGGACATTCGAAAGTATCTTTCATCACACAAAGCTCTAATTGTACTTATGTACTAGGAAAGCTTCCTTTTAACTAACATTCTATAAGGCTTG